CAACCTCATAGGAGGTGCATTTGTGCATGTGTGTGCATGAATATGTATGTGTATGTGTGTGCACATGTGCATGTGTGTATATGTGTGTGCTTGTGTATCTTAACTACTTTACTGCCCATATAGCTTTTGCCATTTCTTTCCTCAAAAAATAAGAGAAAATGAAAAAACTAAGAGGATAGTGACCAAAATATCTATCAGAATTAATAGGATGTTTGAATAATCCTGACCCACTTAGAATTTTTTTAAATAGGTATAATTTAAGAAACTTTTAATATTTTAATATTTCTCTAGTTTGTTTCAAAAATGATTTTTAACTAAATAGCAGCTTGAGTAAACAGCATAGAGAACACATATGTATTTTATATTAAATAACAATAGCTTATATCAAAATCTAATTATAAATATAAATAAAATAAAACAAAACATTTTAGGTAATAGTAAACCAAGGAAAAGAAAATGACTTATTAAAATGTAGACATTGCTCTCTCATTATGTATTTTACTTGATTTCTGAGGAGAACTGATCGAATTAAGAAATAGCCAGAAGGCATAGACACACAGTGGAAAATCATTTCCCTTTTTAGTAAGTTTTGTGTCTGCTTTAAATTGATCATTTGTTTCATCAGCTAATCCCCAAACAGAGGGCATGTCCTCTCTCCTTACAAAATTCTTGTACATAAGTTGAATTCTGTCTTTATCAACTCAGGCCAATAAGTACTTTATTTTGTTTTTGCTTGTTAGGGGGAAAAAAAAAAAGATAATCAGCTCATACTACTTGCTTAGCTGTCTGCATTTTAATTCCAGACTATGAACGAGCATCAGAGTGCCCTTATGATATTTTGCACAAAAGGCTCAGTGTTTATGACTCTACTCAGAGAACCCAAAATAGCATTCAGTAAGCAGTGACATACTGACAGCGTTGTGGTACTAAAAGCACAAGCGTCTGTAATTCCAGGCAATGGGGCACATCGAGAGTTTGCTGAGAAGACTGTGAAGCAAAAAGAAGAAAGTTTTTCCTAATCTTCCTCATGTGTCCAACACGAAGTCTGCTGTTCAGTTTTCACAGAACTCCTAGAAGTTGAAGTTACAAAGGTAAGACTGTGATAGTCAGGCATATTATACACTACATGCATCATCTTTAATGAGTCAATAGGTCAAAAAGTACTTAAGTTGTTGCTAGGAAAATATTCTAAAAATATTAAGGAAAATATTTATATAGGAAATAGGGAAAATATTCTAAAAATTTTAAAAGCATGATGTGTACTGACCTTTCTCAAAACAAATATTTGTAAGAACAATTCTCTGTCTCTGTAATATAGATTGTTGGGGTGGGGGGGAAGTTACACCTATGTTAGGATATTTAAAACTTCTCCAGTTTCTTAGAAGAAATGAATCAATCTTTCTTTGCATGTCTTTCTTTCTTTGCACATTTTTCTTTGTTCAGGGTTTTATTTATTATCTATCGTGTATTTACCATGTATATCAGGTAATATGAACACTAGAGTTGTCATCCTTAAGTATATGAAGAAAAAAATATTTATATACAGAATAAATATGAAAAAGTTTAAGTATATTATAATTCCAATAAAATTAAAATATTAGCATTAATATGAATAAAAACACATATACGTCTAAATTTATACACACATATTAATTTGCCTATATGTATTATAACATTTATACATAACACAAAGGGTAATTTCTCAAATATGAAAGATAGTATAAATTAAGAAAAGTGTAAATTAATAAAATGGATACTGTAAAAGACATATGTTTCAAATCTAATTTGGTACATGTAATTTTAATTGAATTAATATTTATGATAAAATATTTCAGAATAAGTTTACCAAAGGGATTTAATAAATCTATTAAATATAAAAACACATGAAATATTTAGCAACAAAAAATACCTAAATAAAGTGGCAAAGGCTTTCTTCAGATTATGTCAATTTATATTTTAGCTCTATTAATTCATTTGTTGAATTAATACATCTGTAAGAAAGACATTATTTAGATAAAATATTTGAAAATTTAGTAATATATATTT